GTCAGAGCTATAATATATATAGTAACTTTAGGTTTCACCTGATGATTGTAACACCAAGAAACTTAAAGTTGTGAAAATCATGTAGTTTTATTCTCAATATATCAACTTGTTTCTCCGCGCAACGGCCTTGTTCATCAAGGTTTGTGTTTCTGAGTTATAGAGTTAAGATAGGGTTATAACCACAAATAAGTAGCCTCCTCATCTGTAGTGGCCTTCTCGGCCTTGAGGAGGTGAATTATATTAAAAATATATATATATGTGTATATTTATATATATATATATATATATATATATATATATATATATATATATATATATATATATTATATTTATATATATATATATATATATATATATATATAATATATATATATATATATATATATATATATATATATATATATATATATATATATATATATATATATATATATATATATATATATATATATATATATATATATATCTACTATAGCATATTTATATGCGCAATTGCTCACTTTTTTTGCTAGCCTAAATTAGCCTCAGTTGATATAGCAGCACTCCACTGCAAGTCAGGCTATTTGTCAGTCGATGTATGTACTGAAGCCCGTGGCAGCAGGCTATTTAAGTATATTCAGTATATTCTAGGGATGTACCGAAGCTTCGGCTTCGGCTTCGGCGTGCCGAAGCTTCGGCAATTTTGCCGAAGCTTCGGTTCAGCCGAAGCCAGGTCAATTTTTTGCCGAATCTTTGGCTTCGGCAAAAAATTTTAAGTAATTAAAGTTATAAGCTACTGTGGGACAAGTTATAAAAATAAGCTAATTGCCAGTGTCTAATAAAGTTATAAATTTAGGATTACAGAGTTAAAGTTGGAGTCTATACCATATACTTAGTATTATTTACTCCCAAGTGTCTTGTTATGGAGGGGATAATAATAAATAAGTAAAAATATTTTGAAAAAAATAATAAAATTGAGGAAGGTCCTCATACACTTTGAAAGCTTCCAAGTGTGACTTTAGATGAACTGAAGCAGCATTTCTATGCAGAATAAAAACCTTATAAGTTAAAACAAATTAAAAGTTTTTAAAACCTTAATTTGTATTATGTAACGAATTCATATTAATTATTGTGTGGGATTACCGCAAATAGAACAAAATTTGGTTTCAACATTTGACTGATAAACCTTAGTAATCTCTCTTTAAAGAAGATTAAAGATACGTTGCTACTATTTTAAATTGTGTGTATGTTTAATTTTTTAAAATTTTATTTAACCATATTAATAAAAGTTTACAAATTTTCATCGTAAGTTTACAGAAATTGGTTAGGTGTCACTTATATAAATACAAAATAGTCAATGGAGTGACACATAAAAAGCAAAAAGTTCTCAATAACAAAAAAGGAAGAAAAGCAAATGAAATATAAACGAGGAGAATAAAAAAAGAAAAAAAAAGCCAACAAAAACTAGATAAATTAAAAGAAAAAGAAAAACAATGATAATAACTATCCTTGCTCTTTTATTAATATTATGAATACTTCTAAATTGAATTTATATATTAAACATGTAAACCAATATTCTGGTTTCTTCTTATGATATTATGAAGACTTTTAAATTTTATTTAAAATAAATTAAAGGTTGAAGCTTTGATTACTTTGAGCTCTTATATTTATCATCAAAATTTATTTAAATTAAATAAACAATTTAAATCAAATAAATATCAGCTAGCTCAATCCCTGTTTATTTATAAATATAAAGTGAATAATAATATAATTATAAATAAAAAATTTATAAAGTATTCTATTTATTATTTTATTTAAAGCTTACTCTACAGAGTTGTTAGATTACTATGGAAGCTTTTACCACAGATAGTTAATATTTGATTTCAGATACTGATGCAGATTTATCCATTATAGAGACAGAAGAAGAATGAATACTAAGATTTTAAAGTGTAAAAAATTAAAAAAAGCTATAGAAAATGTTATGTAGTGTACAGTTAAAAATAATAAAAAAAAATACTTAAAAGTGTGTAAAAAAGAAGTTAGAGAGAAATCTATCATTTGTACTTTTTTTTAGCAGCAGGTTCACAACAGTTGTAGTGGAATCCAAAATGGTCTTAACTTGGGTTTTTTTCAGTTTAGAAATTGTTCGTTTAAAGAATACAGAGAAGTAAAAAAAAGATATTGAAATAAATAGCAATAAAAAGATAAAGTGTGTTTCTAACATTTTTTATGTTGTAGATACAACTAGATCAGCTAAGAGTGTTTATTTAAAGAAAGAGTGATCAAGTGCAAAAGATAAATTTACTCTAGTAATGTTTAGAGATTTTTATCCATTTCTATTAACAAAAGGTGCATTAAAAATAAAAATAAAATATACAGCACATGAAAAGATGCTATATAACATTAATATGGTTTTCACACAGAAAAAGTAGAACTAGAAGTAGGAAAATTTGGGAAGAATGTTTTAAAAAAGCTTAAGTTTAAAAAAAAAACGCTCGGTGCGGTCAAATATCAGAAACGACATAATGAGAAATATTTAAACAGGGGCGCTGAGAGCTTTTGCCCTGCCTGGAACAGCAACCCTGACTGGCGTCCTCATTTTTATACGATTTTTCTATATTATTAGTCAAGGACCATAGTTTTGGTACCTTTTTTGTTTTATACCCCTGCTGATCTGAATGCTGATTAAATTTTAAGCATATATAGTGCCGAAGCTTCGGCTTCGGCAAAGTGGCTTTGGCCGAAGCTTCGGCTTCGGCAAAATTTCAGCTTCGGTACATTCCTAGTATATTCATATATGTATGTATATATATAAATGAGTGGAATTCCTCAGGGATCTGTTTTATGCCTCTTAGTTTTTGTGTTATACATTGTGATATATTTTAATGTCCTACCTGACAACATTTCCAACTATATAAAACTTTGTGCAGAGGACAGCAAAATAATGCAGTTTTAAAAACACTAGCTGATGCGCTATTTGTGCAAAATGATATTGACAAACTTCTTGAATGGTCTAGAAATTGATGCATGTTTTAATCTTGATAAGTGTAGGGTTATGCATATTGGTCACAAAAAAATTAAATCAACACATAATTACACAATGATAGGCCAAGATGGACTTTGTCATCCATTAAAATGTACCACAGTAAAGTGGGACTTAAGGATGTATATATATATATATATATATATATATATATATATATATATACACATACATATATATATATACACATACATACATATATACACATACATACATATATATATAACTAAACTAATATATATATATATATATATATATATATATATATATATATATATATATATATATATATATATATATATATATATATATATATATATATATATATATATATATATATATATATACACATACATACATATGCATATATATATATATATATATATATATATATATATACACACATACATACATATACATTTATATATATATATATATATATATTATATATATATATATATATACACATACATACATATACATATATATATATATATATATATATATATATATATATATATATATATATATATATATATATATATACATATATATATATATATATACACATACATACATACAGTACCGACAGAAAGTTTCCAGGCCACTGTATATTTACAGCATAAGGCAGCAAAAATAAGATGTACAACATTATGTTAATTATAATTTACAATTATTATTATCAAAAACTTTGTAGTTAAACACAATAAAATAATTTCATGAGTATTTTAAATAATTTCATCAGTATTTGGAAAATCCACCCCTGGCTTTCTACACCGCAGCAACCCCGGCTGAACTCATGCACCCCTAGATCATAATTTTTCCATTACCAAACTTCACAGTGGTCATAATACACTCTTCTTTGAGTTTTTCATGTTTTCTTCTTCTCACAAACACTCTTCTGGATAAATTAAACACTTCAAATGAACTCTCATCACTCCATAAAACAGATTTCCAATCTTCTGCAGTCCCGTCTTGATGTTGCTGTGCAAACTCCAACTTGTACGTCTATGTGTGGCAGTCAGTAGGGGCTTTCTGATAGCCACACAACCTCTTAAACCTGCCAAATTCAGTCTAGTTTTCACTGAAGTGGTTGATACTGTAACTCCATATTCATTCTGCCATTTATTCTGCAGTTCTGGTGCAGTTAGATGTCGATTTTGCAAACTTAGTCTCAGTAGTGCTCGATCCTGTCTCACAGTAGAATTCTTGGGTCTTCCTGTACGAGCTTTATCTTTCACACTACCTGTCTGATTATATTTCTTTATCAAATCATCAACATTTTGTCTTCTAACTTTGACATCTTTTGCAATACATCAATGAGTCCTTTTTCTTCCAAAAATCTTAATCTCTTAATCGCTGTTCAAATTTCTCTTTTTAAATGCTTTTGTAAATCGCTGATAAATTTCTCTTTTTAAATGCCATTTTAAATGCTTTAGAGCAAAATTTATATAGAACTAAAAATAATCAAATATAATAAATACACAGCATTGATAGTACTAATGTTATTGTATTTAAAAAAATCACTAAAATTAAATCAAAACTATTAAAAATAAAATTATAATATCAATTTAATATGTATGACTAAGGGTAACGGGTTTCACACTAAAATGACCAAAGAAAAATTATATAGTACTCAAATTTTTAAACAAAATATGAACCTGAACATTTATATATATATATATATATATATATATATATATATATATATATATATATATATATATATATATATATATATATATATATATATATATATATATATATATATATATATATATAAATATATATATATATATAAACATACATATATAATACATACTTATTCTACAATATTAATGCAAAATTTGCAATAAAAATAGAAAATTTTAAAAATACTACTGTTATTATTATTGTTAGAAATTTATATATAAAAGTTTTTTTTTAATTTTTTTATTTATTTTGATATTAATAATTTTGTTTTACTTTTTTTTTTTAGATTTTTTCAAGATGCTTTAATATCTTTGTTGAAAAGTTGGTTAAAAAAGCGTATCTTTTCATATGGCAAAGCTCATGTTTGGTGTTATGCATTATTAATATATCATGTCATCACTGGTGAGTCACAACAGATATTGAAAAGCAACCCAGAGAGCATAAATGCCTCAAATTGTGGTTTACCAACTTTTTTTGATAAAAATTGCTGGTTTTATGAGTAGGTTTGCTTTAAAAGTATTCATTATCAATAAATAATTACTTTTAATAAATAATATTTATTCTTTTTAAGATAATTATTGAGTTTCTTCTGATAAAATTTTAAAGCCACATTAGTAAATAATATGCATATTATAAATATAGCAAGGATCTGAAGAAGTTTTATTATTTCTTTGAAAGTTATGAATTAATGTAACAGCAAAATTTAACTCATTACCGCTTGAAAGCACTTTTTAATTTATATTTATGACACTCTTTATGACTTGTTTCTTTATATTTAACTAACATTTTAACTTGTATCTAGTTTAAATGAGGAGTTTTGTAAGTTTATTTCAAAGTTGATGCTTTTTTTATACGAACCTTGTGGAGTAATAGAGGAAATAAAGTAAAAATTTGTTTCTCTTTTCCAACATTGATGCAGTAATAAGTGTTGATTTTTTTTTTTTTTTTTTTCAATTTTAAAATTAGCAAGGTTAATTTTGGTGAAAAATTTTATGGAGATTCTGAATCTGCAAAAAAAAAAAAATTTAAAAAACAATGTCTTGCTGGGTGGGTCAGCGTTGTTTTAAACAGAAAAATGACTAAAATATGACTAATTAACAGGCCAAAACTATAATTAAAAAAAGAAAAAAATTATTTCTAAAATTTTTGATTAACTCAATAAATATTATATTGAATTTTAAGAAAATTGATTATTTGGTTCAAAAATTCATAAAAAGAAAAACCAAAAAGGTAGTTTTTGTGAAGGGTAATTTTACAAAAATCATGCACTTTTTATACTTTAGACAAAGAATGTTTCGGTTGTTGTATGTTGTTTTTTTCCAAACTTTAAAAGTAAGAGGAGTTAATTTTTGTGGGGAATTATATAGGGAATCTAAATCTGAAAAAAAAGAATCAAATTAAAAGATATCTTGTTGGGGGGAACACTTATTTTTTAAAGAGAAAATCACTAAAATATGAATAGTTAAAAAAAAAGTTTAATTATTTAATTAAAAAGTTTAATTACCTCTCCTTTTTTTTGATATTTTATTTCAATAGAAATAAAATATGCAGAGGTCCATCTAACCATTGTTTACCATTATTTGAAACCAGCAAGAAAAATACACACCAACTATAAATTCATTAATTAAACCTAGGTTTTTAAGGTTTCTTTTTATTTTCTGTTAGAAAATGAAATGAAACCAACAATCTACAAAAACAGTTGGCTGTAGTGAGCCATCTGGATGAGAAACAGGTCCTATTTCAAGGTTCATTAGATTATAATGAATATATAATTTAATGAACCATTATAAGGTAACCCTCCAGGTCTTATTACTGTTACAATTCTGTATTCGTAAGCCTGATCTGCCGAAAGATTATTAATTAGTTTGTCTAGCAAAGCAATAAGTGGTTTATCTAAAGTTACTTTTTTAAAGTTTTTGTTTGCATGTTTGCATTAGAGGACCTCGGCATATTTTATTCCTATTGAATTCCTTGTGCAAAATCATATTCCCATGAGAATCGAGTAGGATATATAAGAGCACAAGAAATTAGGATTTAAAGAAATCAACACTAATTTATGAGCACAATGCTAAATATAACTTAGTTGGACTCCGATAAAATTTATAATCTAATAATTATAATTATATGTAAGTTTTAATAAAGATATCAGTATTATATAATATATATTACAAAATATATTAGTATTTAATATACTGTTTGTTATAACAAAAATGTTTGACTTATTGTTTGTTTTAGAAAAGACAGCGCACCCTACAATACGATAACATTCACTGTCTAAAACATGAAAAAAATCAAATAATTATGTGTTTATTTTTTTGACTTTTTAACAAAATATGACATTTTCCTAAAGTTCAACAAAATACTTATTGAGTTTATCAAATATTTAATTTTTTTTTTTTTTTAATTTATAATTTTTTCTCTTTAATTGTTCATATTTTAGTCATTTTCTTGTTGAAAAATAAGCGTTTCTCCCAACAAAACATTTTATTTTGATTTTTTTTTCCAGATTCAGATTCCCTGTAAAATTTCCCACATAAATGAACTCCCTTTACTTTTAAGGTTTGATAAAAATAGGAAAAAAACAACACACTTTACCATAACATTCTTTATCTAAAATATGAAAAAAGTACCTGATTTTTTTAAAATACCCATCACAAAAACTCCTTTTCTGTGTTCATTTTTATGACTTTTTGAACCAAATAATAAATTTTCTTAAAATTCAACATAATAATTTGAGTTGATCAAAAATTTGAGATTTTTTTTTTTTTCAATTATACTTTTACTCTTAATTATACTAATTAACAGTAAAAAATTACTAATTAACAGTAAAAATATAATTATACTTACTTTAATTATATTTTTACTGTTAATTAGTCACATTTTAGTCATTTTTCCATTCAAAACAATGCTGACCACCCAGCAAGATATTTTTTTAACTTTTTTTTACAGAATCAGAATCTCCATAAAATTTTTCACCAAAAGTAACCTTGCCATTTTTGAAATTGAAAAAAAAAAAAAGAATCAACACACCCTAATGCAATAAGCTACTTTTCCAACATTGATGCAATAAGCTACTTTTCCAACATTGATGCAATAAGCTACTTTTCCAAAATTGATGCAATAAGCTACAGCTTTTTTGCTTGAGAAAAAGTTTTAATATATGACTATAAGATACAGCACATAATATTTACAAAAAAACTCAACAGCTTTTTTAATTTGATTTTTGACAAATTTTTTGTCTGTTAAAATTTCAGTTATTTTGATAGTAGCTAACTTATTTCTATTAATACTATTTTAAATAAGAATTTATTTCATTACTTATCTTTAATAATAATGTTAATAATGCTAGTTAGTAGGTTTGTTAAGTAATTAATTAATTTAGTTTATAATTAGTAAGTGTTTTTTTTATAAATATTTTAATAACTACTAAATATAATAAAAAAGAAAAAAAAAAAGTCTGTTGTATTAGAAAATTGATTTGCATGCAGAGTTTTCAGTAATTAAAAATATTATAAAAGATTTTATAATTTTTCTAATAACACCTATTATGTAAAAAAACAATCAATTTAAGTGAATGTAATAATAAAATATTTTTAAGTAACATTAAATATTCCCATTTATTAAACATTAAAAAAAAGTTTTTTTTTTTTTAATGTTTAAAATATTATGACATTTTGAAAAAAAATATTATTTATTTTTTTCAAAATGTCATAAAATATGGTTGTATTAATTTTTATTTAAAATAAGTATTTTTTTAAGTAATATAATTGGCATGTATTCAAAACCATTACTTTTGTTTTTAGGGAAACTTTAAATAATTTTACTAAAATTAAATGGAGCTTAAAGAATGATGTTTTACTTCAGAGAGGCATTGCTTATTATATGGGACCAAAGTATTTTGTTGATATGTTAAAGACTGGAGCTTTTAGTGAACGTCTCTTGGTTAACATGATGACTTATACTATAAAGTCAAATGGATGTCCAAATTTTATGGTATTGATTTTATAGATTAATTAAATGTTTTAATTTATTTATAATTGAATTTGAAAGCACATATTTTGCAAGATGGTAGTCTTATTTATTTCAGTTATTACTATTTCAAATATTTTAGAGTTCTAATTATATAGTTTATCTTTAATAATAATATTAATGTTTATTAACTAATTACTTAATTTAGTTTATAATTAATAAGTTTATTTTTAATAAATGTTGAATAACTATTACATATAACATAATATGATATATAATGTATAACATAATATTGTAATACTTATTAAGTAACTTTAATTTTTAGATTTATCAGTGTGAAAATTTCTTAGATGAGTTACTAAGATTGAATTTTTACGAAAGAAATTTCAATAGGTTTAACATTTTAATTTTTTTGTTTGTTTTTCATATTTCAACTTTTATTGTTTTAAAACTGTTTGGTAAATATTAGTTACATTTGGTAGTTATATTCTTATTATTTTTAATATAATAAAAACAAAATTTAACTCCACAGAATACATAAATTTTTTTATTTTTTAGAGGTCATTTAGTTGAGGCGCTTATTAACATGTTAGATGTGTCATTAGAAAAAATAGATATAAATGATATGAGCTGTAGTTTGTTGTCTAAAATGCTCAATTCTATAAACACGTTTTACATAAGTATTGATCCATCAGATGAAGTTAAGTCAAAACTTGAGGAAACTGCTCTTAAGTACAAGTCAAATGTTATAAAGAGTTTTAAAATTAAGTTCGGTGAAAAAAATTGCAACTGGAATACAATAAAAAATTTGCAATCACAATTAAAGGTATATTTTTAACTATAAACTTTGTTTCAGTGCTTTTAATCTATGTTTTGCATCTTTGAGTGTGTTTTTACTTAGAAAGTTACTTATGGTGTAATATATTGATATATATATATAATATATTGATAACTTTTTCTATATTTTTTAAGGTTATAGCATTGCTTGTGGATTTAGAGATAGCAAAAGGGGATGAATTTAAAGAACTTGCTATTGATATTCTTAAAAATAAAGTTGTATGTAAAATTAAACTTTAGTTTTTGATTTCTAACATAGACATGATAACATAGGTATGATTGATTTCTAACATAGACATGATAACATAGGTATGATTGATTTCTAACATAGACATAATAACATAGGTATGATTGATTTCTAATATAGAAAATGATCTCATAGATATGATTGATTTCTAACATAGAAAATGATAACATAGGTATGATTTATTAAAATAAAAAAATAAAAAACAATAAATTTATTGAGCTGTTTAAAATTGTCACAGTCAATTTAATTAAATAATTAAAAACACAGTTAAAATGTGTTGTACAAATGAACAATTTGTATGAGTACTTTAAATGAGACTGCTCAATTTTGATCCTTACCATTTTAAAGCATTTTTTAATTTTTTTTTGTCACAAATATACTTGTATCTATTTATTTAAAAAACACCTTAACTTGTACCTACTCTGAATTATTTTTTAAGCTTTTAGAGTTTAGTGGTTATTTTTATAATACTTTATAATAAAGTATAATAAAAATTAAATTAAAAAGTAAAATAAAAATAGCATACATAATAGTATGCAATAGAATTCCATTGATCTTCTTGAAGACAAAAAAAAGCTATATTTATAAATTATATTAGCAACTTTAAACATATTTGCTTGGTATATTCTAGCCATACTTACTTATACTGTTTAATTATATTATCTTGACTAAATTTAAAGCTGACACCTAGTATAATCTTGTAGCATTAAAATGGTTTACATTCTTAAAATGAGTTTAATTGCTTTGATGTTTTACTTTCAAAGTGAATTTCATTTTCAAAGTTAATGCTTTTTCTTTACAAAACCTTGTCATCAAGCGTTAATAGAGAAACCAAAGTTAAATCTAGTTATCAAATCTCTTTTCCAGTATTGACATAGAAAGCTATAGCCTTTTGCGTTTGAAGCATCTTTATTAAGATTGTATCGCTGTTAGTTCAATATCTAGTGTTTTACTATTAGATTCTTGTTATAGCTATGCGTGCATTATGAGCAACAACAGTACAAATTAACAAAAACTCTCAACTATAAATTGACTTGCACAACAAAATTATTATAAACATGTACTATGCATTTATTTATTTGTTTTTTTTAACTAAATTATTTCTAGGCATTTATTCTCAGGTAAAATGATATTATTTTAATATAAATTTACCTGAGAATAAATGCCTAAATAAAAACATTTTGAAAAAAATATAGACTAAAAGAAAAGCATCATAAAATATATTTATTAAAATAAATTAATAGACAAAGGATTGTCTATTAATGTATTCAAGACAAAAACTATTTACACAAGTAGTAATGACATAAAGTAATGTACAGTTCTATCTTCAGTAAATACTGATGAATTACTACTATCTCTGCTAAGTGATATATATATATATATATATATATATATATATATATATATATATATATATATATATATATATATATATATATATATATATATATATATATATATATATATAGGGATGACTGAATAAGCGCGAATTTCATAAGTGCGAATGGCGTAAATGCAAACTGGCATAGCTACGAAGCAGTTGCAAAAACTGGCACAACTGGGATTTGGCATAACTACAAATTGGCGTAAGTGCGCCAAATAAATTTACAAACATTGGCATAAGTGCGAATTGGCACAAGTGCGAACTGGCACAAGTGTGAACTGGCACAAGTGTGAACTGGCATAAGTGCGAAGCAGTTACAAAAACTGGCATAAGTGCAAACTGGTATAACTGTGAATTAGCATTAGTACGCTGAATAAATTTGCAAACATTGGCATAAATGTGAACTGGCATAAGTGCAAACTGACATGAGTGTGAACTGGCATAAGTGCAAAATACCTATTTGCACTTAAACCAATAGTTGCAATTTTATTCGGCGCATTTATGCCAATTTGCACTTATATCAGTTCGCATTTATGCCAGTTTTTGTAACTGCTTTGCACTTATGCCAATTTGCACTTATGGCAATGTTTGCAAAATTTTTTTGTCGACTTATGCCATTCGCACATACGCCAATTTGCACTTATGCCAGTTTTTACAACTGCTTCACACCTATGCCAGTTCGCACTTATGACAGTTCGTACTTATGACAATGTTTGCAAAATCTTTTGGCACACTAATGCCAATTTGCACTTATGCCAGTTTTTGCAACTGCTTCGCACCTTTTCCAGTTCGCACTTATGCCAATGTTTGCAAATTCTTTTGGGGCACTTATGCCTTTTCACACATATGCCAGTTTGCACTTATGCCAGTTTTTGTAACATTTCATGCTTATGCCAGTTTACACATTTTTTTTTTTTAAACATCTTCACTTCCAACAAGGCTGCAAGCAACCACTAATTAGTGTTGGAAGTTACTGGAAGAGAAAAGTATTTGTAGGAAAGAGAAAGAGAAGCAACATTATGACGAGGTGACAGGTTGAAAGATGGCTGCAAGAGCTGGTCCAACTATGTTTACAATGCGTTTTTGTACCTTGTCTAAAAGAGAAAGGGCATCATTAGAAGATTCGCCCCAGATATGGCAACAGTATTCCATACAAGGCCGGATTTGAGATTTATAGAGATAGAGAATAGAATCCAGAGTAAGAAAGTGTCGAGCTCGTTAAAGAGAAGCAACTTTAGCAGATGCTAATTTTGCAACAGATTTAATATAAGGTTTCCAAGAAAGATCAGAAGTAAGAGTTAATCCTAGAAGATGAAGGGGTAGGAGACTCATCGAGTACATTACCGTTCATAAATATAGGAAGGTCTAAATTATTGCGATAACGATTGGCTGAAAAAAATTGAGTTTTATCTGAATTAAAGTTCACCAGCCACTGTGAGCCTCATGCTGTAGCAGAAATGAGATCCTTTTCAAGCTCAGATGCCTCCTGCAAGCAATCAGAGAGAGTTGGCTTCTTATCGTAACAAGAATAAATGGTAGTATCATCAGTGAACAATGCCACCTTAGATGTGAGAATATCTGGATGATCGTTAATGTAAATTAAAAAGAGTATAGGGCCAAGGATTGAACCTTGAGGAACCCCTGAGGTTACTGAATAAGAAGAAGAGTGCTGTCCATCAAGGACAACTTTTATACTACGATTGGAAAAGAAGGATTCAATAATCTTAAAGATGTTTCCAGATACACCGTAAGAAGAAAGCTTATGGAGAAGACCAGTATGCCAAACTTTATCAAACGCTTTAGAAATGTCAAGAGCAACGGCCTTAACCTCTCCACCTTTATCTAATGCATATAACATATGCCAATTCTGTATATATATAAATATGTATATGTGTATATATATAAATGTAATGAATGAATGCTACATGCATATTTGAGCGATGAGACAACTAAAAAGTTTTTCAAAATAAGAACTGGCATGAAAATGCTTTTTCTTATAACTAAATTGAGTCCCAAAAAAATCTTTGTTAACACTTGCAAAAAAAAGTGTTCAAAAATCCTGAAGAAAATTGAAACCAACCAACCTTATAAAAATCTTTTATATAAACTGTCAAACCTGGCATAGGCTGGCAGATAATAACAGAAAAGAAGTTTTGGAAGACAGTTTTCAGCTGTAACAAAATGTTGGCTAGGAGATTATTACCTGGAGATGGGAATTGTGGATAAATAAAAATTAAAGAACTCATCAAATATCTCTAATAAATATGGCTAAAAGTTTAAGATGTTGTAAAATGCCATTTTACTAGGAGAACAAAAATGTCATAGCAATAAATGTTGTAGATAAAACTATAAAAATATTCACATTATTTGCAAAAAATAAAAATAAAGATTCAGAATAAATAATATGATCAACGTCTTTTTTATATATTTTTTATATTTAAAAGTGTCCCATAAAAATCTTAATTTTCTTTGGTTCTTGCACTCCAAAAAAAACATTTTTTTTGTTTAGCTTCATATAAAAACAAATAATATAAAAATAGAAATAATATTGATTGAGAAAAAAAGTTTGATTTTTCTAAAAGAAAATCCTACAATGACCTTATTTTTTATACAGAAACTCTTTGAAATTAAACGCCCTTGAATAAATTATAAAGTCTGTATATTGTGGCGTATATTTTAAAGACTTTAAAATCTCACTAAAATCAAGAAGCGAGCTTCGACTAAAACTGCAAAGTTAGGTTATTTTTTTTGTTTTAATCAAAAAAATTCAGACCCAACAATTTCTTAAAATTCTCTTTAATATAAACACAATTTGTCTCTGCAGTTTTGAGATAAGCCAAGAAGACTTTTTATTGTAAGGTTTTGAATGTTTTTTTATATTGTACATAAGCGATTCATATACAATTTGCAAACTCAACTTACCTTCTGTTGGTAGTACTGATGTTTACATATACAGATGTTTGTATGTAACTTTATACAAATGGAATTTTTACATTAAATGTAAAAGACATATTGTTATCAATTTACATATTTACATAAATTTCTTATAATTCTTTATAAAAAAGTGCTAATAAACTTGCCTTTTGTTTTCCTTAATGTCTCAGCTCCTTGTCAAAACACAGTGGGCACTACTAACATTAGACATTCAGCATTACTATGTTTTATTTTATTATTCAAATAATGATTACTATATACCTTTCTACTATATAATGAAAATTAGGTTTAACACTATTTATACCTGTTAACTATATCTTTCTTTAGTACATAGTAATCATTATTTTTATTTAATTTTTTTCTAGAAAAGTGCTGGAAAAAAACTTTTATTAGAAGCTTATTGCGAATCGGATATTTTATCTTACAATGAGTTAATCCAAGCACCTTTTACTGAATCATTTTCTGCTACTATTGAAGAAATGTCCCAGGTTACAAGTAATTTTTTTTTTTTCAAAGTAAACATAAAATAATAACAACTTAGTAAAGCGTGTACACAAAATAAATGTGAAAGTAGAAAAACGACTAAAAAAAAGTACTCTTCAATTTTTATTTCAAACCAAGTAATAACTTTAATACAATAATAAAAGAAGATCAAATTTCAACAAAAAAAAAAAAATCAAATTATTCCTGTGGCAATCTAATAAAATTTCGAACTTTTTCTTTGGTGGTACCCATAAGCTTGTGCACAGAATAAGAATTGAAGCCATTTGATGCTTTTTTAAATGATAGTTTAATATCTTTAATATTTCTGCAAACTTTTTTTATTTTAGGCACAAGTTTCACATTATTATTTTTATACCGTTTAAAAGCTAGTTTACATATTGAATCTAAATCTGGCCAGAACACGGGTCTCTTATCATTTGATTTAATGAGAGGTTAAAGGTGTTATTTTAAACACTCTTTAACATATATTTGAACCAAAAGTATGGACTGAGAAATATAAGGTACTGGTTTTTTGCCGCAACTGCAAATAGCTTGCCAAATCAAGACTTTTTTTTAGCAAACTTGTCATGTTTAATGTATTAAAATTTCTTATCTGCTTTTTCTCTACATTTGGCAATATAATAGACAGCACTAGGAATTTGCTGATGATCGTACTTGATATAAGTTTCATCGTCTTCAATAATACAGAAATTTTCAGAAATAAAATTGTCATACAATTTTCTGCAGCAGGTTATTGCACGTTTTTGTTGAGTTTCAGATTGGTTAGGCACTTTTTGTTCTTTGCAAGACTGAAAACCATGTTTATTTCGAAACTTTTACAACAAAACTATGAGAAAGTCCATAAATGTTTGCGCGCTCCCTTAGTGAAAGGCTTGGGTTAGTCTTAAAACTGTTAACCAGTTTTCTAACTAGTTTTTTATCTTTAAAACCCTTCTTTTTTCCACCACCAGATTTACGTTTGATCCCTTTTGTTTGAGAAAAAAGTTGGATTACACAACTAACGGTGTATGGATGTATTTGCAACGCTTTTGTTATCGAATTGTGGCTTCTATTGGGATTTCCCAAATATTTGTGCATAATTTTTTCTCTTATGACTTCTTCTTTTGTCCATTTAAAACTAATTTTAAGTTAAGTCAAAAAGCTAATACATTTTTTTGAAACCACAACACGTTGTAAACAAAATAAAAAACAATTAAAAAGATTTTAATATAAGCACTAAAATGACGTACGTAAATGACGTACTTATTCTTTCACATTTAATTCGTGTACACGCTTTAGTAGTAAAAATGATAGATATTAAAAGATAATAGAATAATAATAAAGAAATAATTTTCTTAATATAATAAAATTTTTGTTGTACCTATTTTTGATAAATAAGCAAGTCATTTCCGCTTAAACCCTGCTTGGGATTCTTCACTTTATAGATTCTTTTTGCATTTTTGTATTTTGATGAACAATTAATAACTTAAGAAAGTTTTATCTTCTCCACAAGTTGCTTACAAAAAAAAAAAAAAATTAAAGAAAAATTATAGAAAAATTTCCTAAAGCAAAGAAAAAAATTTTTTATATTTCTAATAAAGTTTTTTTCAAGTTTTATTTAGTTTTATTTATTTAAACTTGGAAATGATTTTTTTTTTAATTTATAAACTTTAAAAAAAAAAATTGCATTTTTATAGACCAGTAATGACTCAAGTTGGTTATCCAAATTATCTTCAGGCTACTGTCCAATGTTGATTAAATTCATTACAAAGAAATGGGAATGTTTAAAATCTATTGATGAAAAAGTGAATTTTTGTCTAACATGGAAACCTTTTAAAGTATTGATAGACCAACTAGGTAAATATATTTGCCTACATACCTATCTAAATCATTTTCTTAACTTTTTACATAGGTGATATTAAAGCGTGCAACAACCTTATCATAAATTTTATTTAAGTTTTTTTATCTTCATTTCCAATTTTTAATTGTCAAAAAATTGTGACATAATTTATGGACGACCTCATAGATGTCTTTATAATATAGTCCGATGGTATTTTTTGTTGTTTTGTTCTTTATAAAATTGCCTTCCATTAGTCCCAGTAATTTTATGTTAAGAGTAATTATGTTTTAACTTTTAGTGTATGCTTTTAGCAGTAGTTTTTTTTATTTTTTAGGTATTATACTTTTTTTTTTTTTAAAATAAAATAAGCATTGAAAAAATGCTTTTAGCATTTTTTCAATGTTTTGTTTAATATTATAATAAATTTCAATGAAATATACAATAATATCCACACTCTTTTTTCTAATTTTTCATTTATTCATTCTTATTCAGTTGTGAATATTTTAGGTACCACTAGCAATTGCACCTGTTTTATCAAAAGTAAAATTAGTCAATTTCCATGATTATTATATTGGCATATGAGACGGTTACTACTCTAGATAATGGTGAATTACACCTGATGTCTTTAGTAGGAGGGCTGGCACCTTGAATAATAATAGATTACCTCCTCAATACTTATAACACAAACTCTAAGAGTCTTTTCTTTTGTTCATAAAATTTTTATGCAACTCTGCAGATGTTAATTTTAAATATTAAAAAAAAGCATTTTATAGCTGACAGTTTAAACAAAAACTTATTTTCTTTTTGTACCTTTTAGTATTCAAAGTCTTTGTAAAACAAGCTGAAGTTTGAAAAAAAAAAAAAGGAAAAGATCCTTAATTTTATATAGTTATGTTTGTATAATTTATATAGTTATTTATAGTTTTATATTTGTATAATTTACATATTTACTTATAATTATATATATATTTGCATAATTTATATAGTTTATATACATATGAACTTTTTACCACCACAATTTTTTTGTTTTAAGGAAAGAAATCCAAGTCAGAAGAAACAGCAATTTTTATTTGCGAAGTTGTATCAGTATTTCAACATGTTTTTGAAATTATAAACAATGGTAAAATTACGATAAATTTTATGATGAATATAATGAACAAGCAAGAAACTTTATTTGAACTTCTTCAAGTAATAAAAGTTGATTTTTTTGATAATTTGAAAGCAACATTTGATATACGGTTGAAGCAATTAAATTGCTTCTATAGAGTTGGAAAAGTTGTGAACTACACCCTGCAACTTTGTAAAGCAGTACTTCCAACTACAGGTTTAATTTCAAATTACTTTAGTTTTTTTAATTAAATTATGTATTTTTAAAAAGTAAAATTAATATGACTTTTTTTATCACAATTAAAACATCAAAACAAAGAATTAATTATCCATTAGATAGAGGTTTTAAATGTCTTTGTTTAAAATCCTGTTATAAATACTGTTATAAAGTTTTGCATTCAAAAAATATAAAAAAGCAGGTTCAACAATTAACAATATTAAAATTAAAACTGATTTATGATGAAACATTTTTATTGTTTTAATATTAAGAATATTAAAATTAAAACAATAAAAATGTTTCATCTAAGCAATATAAAATCAAGCATAGTATGGTTGTCAGAGGCTAAATAAATGATTTGATCTTTGTGATTTGTAATGATTTGTTTTTATTTTGTTAAATGGTTAGCATAATATACATTTCAGAAAAAACTTCTTATCAAAAAATCTATGTAACTTGACTTAGCTAACTGAACTTCGCCAATTGAAGTAAAACAAAGTTGAGTAGCCAATATTTGTTAAACTTTGGTTCCAAAGTGAAACAAATTCTGTTTGCTATTTGTTTAAAGAAAGTATCATTTGCCTGTGTTTTTTTAAAAGCCCTTGATATTAGGATTGTAAAAATGAAAATTTAATTTTATAGCTATAGCATCAATTGTGAAGATGACAGCAAATCTTATTATTTTACATTTTTACTGTAAAAAAAAAACACAAGAAATAGTCACATATTTGATTAATATACACTCTATAAATTAGGTAATCACTGTTGATGGGAAAAAATTAGTTCTTTTGCAAATTGTAAAATATTTGACATTTCCAATTATAACAAAAAAATTAAAAAAATTCTAATAAAATTCTCTTTCAATGAATTAAAACATTCAGATGACATACCAAATGCTACTCAAGTCAAGAACACACTTTTGAAGTTTAGTTCCATATTCTAAATAAAACAAAGTATGTTTGCATCTTTGCTATTATACCTGAAATCAATGATGTAATGCTTCTGTTTCTTGTCACTGTAAATTCTAAGGTGTGTGTTTTATCTTCTGTTAAAATCTTTTACATGGTTTTATGAACTTTTGTGAGTTTTATTCACCTTCTAAATTATACTTTGAGCAGGCTAAGACAAAAACAATTTTAAAAAAGGTAAATCTTTTCTGAAAAATTTTCATTTGATTTTCAAAGCATGCATTCACAATATCATCAATTTTTCTCAAAGTATCAATTATTGGGAAGACATGAAATGCTGACTTTGCTATTTTTGTTGAAAGTTGACATTTTTTAAAAGTTTTTTTGCAGTTATTGCCTTCAAATAAGCCATTATGATAAGACTGTTGGTGAATAGCCAATGCTTTTGTCCAGGCATCTATTAAAGGTCCATTTTTGAGAAGTTTGAAAAAATGGCTTACCATTCCAAGAAAAATGTAGAGTAAAATTACTCTTATCAAACCAAAGACAAGATCTGAATCATCTGAACCAAGAATTGGTTCATGTGTTACATTACCAAAATTCTTAACTGATCTAACATCACCTCATGATACTAAAGCTTTGAAAGATGTCTTGAAAGATCCAAATGTTTGTAAAGTTTTACATTCAACTAAATTATTTTACTGAGTTGTGTACCATGTACATGTATCCCTTCATAAGTGAGACTTAAGACCACACAAAATATAGCAGCTTTTGGCTCATAACACAACAAAGCCTTTGGGATCTGCATCAAAAAATTACATAACAAGTTTCAAATTACAATTATTTTTAACCAGCCATTCTAGATCAGCCACTTTAAGTTGCTTGTTACCACTACTTTGCAGTAAAATGCACGTCTTTGAAAGCATTTGATGTCAAACTTTGTTTATTGGAGAGTGGAGTTCATGGTTTGCCAAGATAAAACTTTAAAAATCTGCCTCCATCATCAATAACTAGTTTGACTATGTATTCAAAAATTTTTTTTCTCTTTAACATAACATTCAAAATTCTGATATTAATAGTTCAGAAAATTCAATTCTTGCACAATATCTTTATTTAAAAGTGTGAAAATTTTAGTATGTGTTTCCAAGAGAGAAATTTTGAATCAATCCAGAGCTATATGATTTTTACTTTTGAAACTTGATTTAGTGTTGATGCCAATTTTATCATTGCTTTTTGTTGTTTGTATTAACTTGATTTTTGTTATTGGCTTTAAATGACATTCTTGTATTAACTTAATTTTTGACAAGAGCTTGGCGATGTATGACATTCTTGTATTAACTTAATTTTAACAAGACCTTTATCCGTTACTTAAGTTAATCCTTCAAACTGAAAACAATCTTATATTATCTTGAAATGTAAATGCGTTACAAATATGGGGAAGTCCTTTACCAAAAATTGTATGGTATTTTGGGTATCTATTGTCAAAATATTTCTGTGTCAGTTTTCTTTTGTCTCTTACAATGATAAATGCTGTAGTTTTGTGCTTAGCATTTTGCTTGCAAAGGAAACAGACAATCTTCCTCTTTTTTTTTCTTCTTTTCTTCATTAGATCTTGCTTTGTAAAGCATTTTTTAATTACTAAATCACAAAGTTTAAAAGAACAATATTAATATTTATTTAATAATAACTGCATTATTTTATCTATCCAAAAATATATTTGTTTATATTTTATATTTTTATTTTTATATTTATTTGTTTATTATTTCTTTTAAGACAAATGCACATTTTCCATAAAAATGGTTGGAAAAAAAAGCTACTACTAACAATAAGTTATTTAAATCAGATATGAGTTAATAGTTATATTCAATTATTATTAATTAAAGAAACTTAAAAAAGGCCTATTTAAAAGAATGTAAAGAACCTAAATCAAAATGTATGTATCTATTTTTTATTTTGTTTTGTAGTTAAAACAGAAGTATTAGAAGCTAGATATTACTCAGAACAGTCAGTTCTAACTTTTAAAGAGGTATTTATGGAAACTACTCAATATTTGAATAATGATAAAGTATCAGATTTCCAGAATTTGTCAAATGTAGAGATGTTTATTATCAATGTATGTACATACTTCCAAATTTCATCGGACTGGTATGAGCATGCTGCTAGAATGGCAGATAGTAAAATTATGAACAGTTTTTTGTTCAAAAAAGAAGTTGAATTATTTGTAAAAGACATGGTAACAATTAATTATACTGATTTGATTGAAAGTATTATTTTACCGACAACTGGAATTTTGAAAAACATGTTTGAGGACATAGTTTCATGTAAAATATCTCCATCAATGATTGTTTCAATATTTAAAGAATATGTTCAACATTGCAAAAAGGAACTTTTTCTATTAAATAAGTACTTAAAGTTAAACTTTGAGAGATCGAAGATAGAAAGTTGTGTTGAAAAAATTAACTGTGTATTTTTAATGGAAAAATATTCTAATGATGCAAGTACAATACTAGAAGTGAGAGAAAATCTAAAATTAAATGGAGACTTTACTGCTGTTGAAAACATGATAGTATTATTGTTTTAACTATTAGAACATTAATCTTATAATTTAGTTATCTTTATCAAAACTTTTTTTAATGTATAAAAATAAACCCATAATATTTTATGCATTTATTTTTTAGAAACCCATAAGTGAAATTGAAAACTTGGAATCTATTGACAACGATTTAAAAGGTTTAGCAGATTTCTTTGAAGAATTTTCAACCTCCATTTCTAAAATATTTAGTGCTATATTGTCATGTCTACAACTTTTTTCTTGGTTAAAAGATAATCTAAAAGGTATAATAATATAAATATGTTAATATGTATGAATATGTATGTATGTATGTATGTATGTATGTATGTATGTATGTATGTATGTATGTATGTATGTATGTATGTATGTATGTATGTATGTATGTATGTATGTATGTATGTATGTATGTGTGTATGTGTGTATGTATGTATGCATGTGTGTATGTATGTATGCATGTGTGTATGTGTGTATGTATGTATGTATGTATGTATGTATGTATGTATGTATGTATGTATGTATGTATGTATGTATGTATGTATGCATGTGTGTATGTATGTATGCATGTGTGTATGTATGTGTGTATGTATGTATGTGTGTATGTATGTATGTATGTATGTATGTATGTATGTATGTATGTATGTATGTATGTATGTATGTATGTATGTATGTATGTATGTATGTACTATGTATGTATTTATGTATGTATTTACATATATATGTATGTGTGCATGTTTAATTTGTAAAATGTAAAATCTCTAAAAGATCTTTATCGTTTGATTCTTTTGAATATTTATTTAATGTAAATTTGTAAATTAAGGAGCTGATATTTCTTGAGTAGTTTTTTTAGAATTATAATTTTTAAAAAAACTTACAATTTAAAACAAAACTTTAATTTTTATTATGTTCAACTTAAATAATTAATATTTTAAATCAATTCAGTTAACATTAATTAAACATAAGCAAGTAATTTCACTGTTAACATCAAAATACAAAAATTTCAGTTGATAGTGATTTGCAATTATCAATACATACCAAAAATGTTGACATGAACTTTTAACTTGAAAGTGAGCAATACTTTTAACTTAAAGTTTATAGAAAAAATGTTGATTTTTTCTATGAATTTCAAATTAAAAGTATTGTTCCTTAGTACTTAATTTTCTTTTATGTAATTGAATAAATCTTAATTTATGTAATTGAATAAATCTTAATTTATGTAATTGAATAAATCTTAATTTATGTAATAAATTATGTAAATAAATTAAATTAAATTGAATATACATTAAATGATTATAATATACTTAATATCACAATTTATTTTTCTGTTACAATTTTACTTGCTCTAAATATTTTTGTATACTTTGTTTGATTTTTGCTTTTTATTATTTTATAAAAATATTTTCTTCTTTTTATTTGATAGTTATTTATGACTAGGACTGGTTATTTGTATTCTTTTGTCATTTTTGAACTGTAGATCCAAAAGAAGTAAAAGTTTTTGTTGAAATCATGTCGATAGCTGCAGGTGAAACTGATTATGAAGTTGATCGAGTAAAATGTTTTGAAGCTTGCTGTCTTGCTTTTGGTCACATCATATTTGATCTAAACGAGGAATCTGGATTCAAAGACCTATTACAGGCTTGTGAACACACTCAAAAAATGATTTCGAATGATTCTGAGATTTTTAAAAAGCTGGTAAATTAATTTATATAATTTCTATATATAAAAATATGTAAATAACAATTATTACTTATGCTTTTGTTTAGAACAACAACAGCAAAAATTTTAATAATTACACAATCACCTCTGAATAAGTAATTGCATAAACACATATGAATGTGTTCATGCTGCTATAATGCTTGTTGTTCAATAACATAACCTGTTGTTCAATATGCTAATTTTTAGACTATTTTGACTCCTTTAACTTTGGTTCTTTAAATTAATAACTTTGTGGTTTATTTTATTTTTCTATTTTTAAAATTATCATTAAAAAAAATAGTTATAATATAATGTAGCATCTTGAATGTTTGAATGAATGAATATAACCTGATATTGTAGTTAGTATTGATATGATACTGTGTAAAAAATATCTTTTTTTGAGAATTAAAAAACCTTTTTTTGTTAAAAATTTTTCTTCTAATATTCAGTGATATTTTGATACTTTATTTTTTTAATTTTAATTTTTAATTCTATACTAAGGACTAAATGTTCTTTACCATTGCCAGTGAATAGATGAGTTTTGTTGAGCAAAAAAGCAGAATTTTAAAGACAAAATTAATTTTAATAATAAAGTAAATAAAAGTTTAAATGAATCTGAAAGTATTAAGTTTTAACTTTAGACTTTTTTTTTTGCTGAAAAAAAACTGACAAAGTATCATTTAATGATAGTTTGATGTTTTTATTGCATTGATTGTTGATCATATTGCTGAAAAAAAGTCTTGATTGTTTGATTATCTTATTTATTAGATATTTTAAATTTTAAATATTCATAATACCTTATAGTGTATGATTGTTGTTATCAATGTTTTCAAAATCAAATTGAACTTTAAAGCTCATAAATTTCATGTAAATTAATACATAGTTAGCTACATAAAAATTTGAATGTTGCATCATTTAAGATCTTGACTTGTTCAAGGTTTTTAGTTTTGAACTTTTTTTTTTGAGTAGTAAAGATAAAATCAATTAGAATATATTACTAAGTCATTGTATAAATATAGTGGAAATATAAGTCTAATTCCTTTTCTTTTGTAGTATATTATTAGGGCATTAAGATATTGTCTTGTGCTAATATTCTAAAATACCTAATATCTAATATACTATCTGAATTTAATCTCAAAAATTGGGTTCAGAGACATGGATGAATCTTAATTAACAAAAGCAAATTCATCCTTCTGTAATAGATGACTCTGATTTTATTATTACTCCTAAAGATAAGGCAGAATTGTTTTTAAAAAAATTTATCCTCTAGTTTATATTTTAAATTTAATAACCACACTCTTCCTATCATATCAAACGAACTGGGTAATCCACATTAAGAAATCCTAATCACTCCTGCTTTGTTTGCTAAAGTTATTACTTACTTTTTTTACAGCAAATGTTCCTGTTCCAATTTTACAAAAGTAACTTTTAAAGTAACTTTTAGCTTTTTCATTACTCTCTTAACTGTTTTCTCTAAACTTATTGATTTAATTAATTGGCTTAATTCAATCTTGTTTTTCTGTCTGCTGAAAAATAGTGTTTGTGGTTCCAATTTTCAAAAACTCTGGAGTACACTCTGATCCCTCCAACTGTGGTCCAGTCTTCTCTTGATTATTACCAAGGTCTTTTAGTCTTTATTTAACTTCTTATTAATTCTGTTAATTGTTAACTGCTTATTAATTCAATCTCATCTTGAGTCAGAAAGGTTTTATTAGGTACTATTAGGTTCTGTTAATTAGATGGAAGCAGTGAGGCAAAACAGCGAGGCAAAACAGCGAGGCAAGCACTATTGCTCTTGATTTATCAAAGGATAAACTCTCTATATAAGCTTGTTTCATATGCAGGAAATATCTTTTTCCGGATATTTCCGGAATTCCGGATATTTTTCTCAAAATATAGTTTTTTCGGATATACAAAATGTTTTCTCATACATTCAAGTTTATATAATATTTGTTTTAATGTATATACATTTTTCGTTTTCAGTGATCAGCCATAAAAAAAAATGTCAAAAATGTCTATAAAAATTCTGAAACCTACCAGCTGAGAGCAAAATTAGGAGAATAGTAAGGGAAAATATGTTCCGAATTTTTCTGGATATTTTACATAAACTATTTTTTAGGGTTCGGCAACATGCATGCATGCGCATGCATGCGCATGTCATACATTACATGCACATGCATGCATGTACATGCGCATGTAGATTAAGCTAGTAAATCAAATTTTATGCAAATCAATTGTGTTAAAAAACAACATAAAATTAATTTTCTAATACTTCTAATCGTAAACAACTTCAAAAACTTCAAGTTTTAGATTTTATTCAATTTCAAATTCAATATTTAGCTGCAAAATACACTCAATCTATGATAACTTTTTATGTCTTATTCTGCAAATTCTCGCTCAAGTTCTTCGATCATAGCTCCTTCATCTTGTATATTGTCGTTTTTGTCACGAGTATCCATCAGTACGTTATTTGTATATAGAAAAACTAGCTTCTCTACTCGTTTATTTGTTAGACGATTTCGAAGGCGTGAATGAATAAATCTGAAGATCGACCAAGTTCTTTCTGCTGCAGCTGATGTGCATATCATCTCATTGATGGAAACTGCCACTTGATAAAGTTCCGGATACTTGTTGCGACCAATAATGCTCCAATAGTTTTTTGCGCTCAATTTGTAAATTGTATCCTTTCGTTTCTGGGGCAATGTAGTCATTTCTCCACTAAACTCGATCAGTTGTTCTCGCACTTTGTCAGCAATATCCGGATGAATTTTGCTTGTTCGATCAAACGTGGCTGTAATAATGTCAATTTTGTCATCTCCAAAATAAAAGCCGTCTGCTGCGTGCTTTGGCGTAAGCATGTAAGCTAGTCCCATGGCTGGCGTGAAAATAAAATCGAGTCGCGACTGAACTTTTTGTTGAATACTCTCGTCATCATCATAATGGTTGAAGAGCTGACCAAAATAGTGGTAGACAAGTGAGAGCGGAGCTTCATCAGCTTCCAACTTTCCGATCATTTTGGAAGGAAGCTCAATGTCCTTAACTAACTTTCCCAAACGAGTCCAAAAGGCAGGGGATTTGATTAAAGTCAGGACTGCTGCTGATGTGGTTTTGGGTTGAATTTCTTTTAATGCGTCGTTTTCCTCGTCAGCTAGCTTGATCAAAACATACTTGGAGAGAAGAAGATAGTTCATCGCATTGTACAAGCTAAACCAGCGTGTAGCAACAGGCATGCAGAGAGATTGAGTGACATTTGCTGTACGTTGATATTCATCAAACATTGACTTGACCATATGGTGGTTTTTGATGAACTTGATGATCTTTTCCGACTCTTTGATTGTTTTTGCAGCTTCTGTGGTATTGGCGATGTCTTTAATTAATAGATTCATGCCGTGGCCGCTACAACCACTTGCTGAGATGTGTGGGTATGTTTCTTCGATTATCTACCATGATGACTTCATAACAGGTGCATTATCAGAAATAAAGCTGCAGAACTTTTGTGAACCAATCTTGTTGATGACTTGGATGATAGCAGCAGCAACTGCAACTGAGTTCTGAATGATTCCGGAGGTATCGCTAGATGAATAAAAAATAGCTTTTTGACCCGGTGCCTTCACGCAGAAATTAACGATGTGATCACCTCTGATGTTTGTCCAACCACCTGACATCAACGTTAGATTACCGTGAGATTGGATGATTTCATCGACAGCAGCAGAGCACTTATTAAAGTGCTTATCGAGCAGCGGTCTTGATAAGGTCTTTGCACTCGGCAAAGCAGCTGCGTATGCTGGATTGAGCGCCTTAACGAAATCCTTGAATGCATCAGATTCAACTAGTTGTAGAGAAATGCCAGTTCTGTAGAAGTAGTTTGATAATTTCATGTCAACATCTGCCTTCCATTCTCCATTTGTTGTGTCAGCTACATGTGAAAGCGATTCTTGTGAGGCTTGCATCGGTTGAGTGTGTTCATTTTGAGAGGATGTGGAAGGATGTGCTGGTGATTCTGATTTGCGTTTCGAAAACAGTCGTTTTTCTTTGAGACTGGCATTTGGACAGGATGATCTCTTGTGTGCTGCAAGACGTTCTTTGGACCACTGGACACGTTTATCACATAATTTGCACTTGCCATAATTAGTTTGACGATTGTAGTCGGTTAAATATTTTGCGACTTCGATTTGACTCATTATAGCCTTTTTCTAACGAGAAACGATTTTCTAATTAAATGTATATGATTCAAATGTATGCAAATCATTACTTACGATAGTTTTTGAAGCAAAATAATAGAGAAAAATGAGTCAAAACTTAAATTAACTTTAAAAATATTTCAAAAGAATGACCTTATTAAATATAAATTTTTTGTTACCGTTAATCTACATGCGCATGTACGTGCGCACGTACATGCGCATGCATGCGCATTTTTAACATGCGCATGCATGCATGCATGTAAATTTCCAAACCCTACTATTTTTCCGGATTTTTAAAAAATGACCTGGATGATTACTGCATATGGTATATGAGGGAAGTTTTTAACTTTTATTTTTTCAACTCAATAGTTGGTTCTTTTCTAGCAGTATTAAGTTTGTCCTTGTTTGACAAAATTTCTCTTCATTTCATGCAACTTCTAGGGTAATAAAAGTTTCCATCCTCGGTCCTGTAATGTTCCTTATTATTTTTAAGATCTTTCTGATTATCTTGTTTCTAAAGTACATCTTTGAGCTTTGGAGATATCAAATTTATTTTCTTTTTTTTATTTTATTTCTGTTTATATTTGTAAAATACTCATATATATTCTAACCAGGGATGCGGAGTCCCAAAAGGACTCCGCCTTTATATCTCTACTTTTTCCAAGTCTGTAGTGTCCAGAAGCTCTAAACATGTTTGTCTTCTATAAGAAAAAAATTCATGAGATTTAATGACTTGAAAGTTATTGTTTTTAAGCCCGGAGTCCTGGAATCCTTGTCGCCATTATACATAAGGACTCTGGGTTCAAAAAATGATGGTTCCTCTCACCTAAAAGTCTTATTTTTTTCCTATTAGTAGTTTATAAACTTATTTATATTTTTAGAGCTCCTGGATACCAAAAACTAAGATAAAGTAATCTTTTTGTGACTTTCATATCCAGAGTCCTTTTTTGGGAACCCGCATCCCTGATTCTAACACAATACTTAACTATTTGAAAGTTAGAGAGTCCATTTTACAGCTGACAAAAGTTTTTTTTGGCACCTAATAAATATTTAAATATGTGGCTCTATTTGCTTATAAAACTTGACAAAATGTTGTTAGTTTAGAATAGGCAGTTGACTTTGAATGTTATCCCTCTTCTGTGATAACCAAGGCTTGCAGTGGCTAGTGTTATTTAACCCAAACAACACTCAGTTATTTACTGCTTTCAATTATTGCAATATTTTTGGTATTCTTATAATAATATATGGCAAAATTCACTGAGTTCTCTATTTTTTGTTATTTTTTCGGATTATCATTTACTACTGAACTTAAATAGAAACCATATATACAATGGGTTAGCATCAGCCAATTTTGATTTAGTGACATTTCTCACAGTTGACCAAAGAGACCAACAATGTTTTGTCACTCAACTTTTTTTTATTTAACACAATTTTTTTTATTTAAGAGTATTTGTTTTATAAAAATATAATATAGTGTTTTTAAAATCTGAAAAAAAAAAATACTTGTAGAAAAAAAAATCAAGTTTTTTTACAGCAGTTGAATTATTGGCAGATATAACTGGTTTGGTTTTACTAATTGGGAGTGTTCCATCTAAATTTCTGGTCAACATTTTCCATTCAAACTTTAAAGGTGAAATATAAAATTATATAAATATAAGTGCTTCATTACAATTTAAAATTTGCTATAAATAGTAAATGTATATCTTTTTTAACAATAAAGTTAAAAATAAAAAACACGTAATAACGTTTTTTTCTACCTTATTACTTTTAAAGCATATTCTTTTAAGAATATTAACTTCTATATAGATGATATCTATATCAAAAAGAAATTAATAATCTTAAAGTTTAAAGGCTTAAAAAAACTTAACAAAAATAATGAATTTAAAATATAGTTTTACATTATACTTTTGACAGTTTCTCTACCCACTAGCCTCTGGGTGTATTACTGGACTTGATCAAGTAAAGATTTCTTCTACAACTGAAACAAACTACAGTTGGATAATTGCTAATTTCCAGGGAATACCTGGGATATATATATATATATATATATATATATATATATATATATATATATATATATATATATATATATATATATATATATATACAGCTTTATCAAATCTTCAATTGTTGAATTTACAGTAAATAAAAACATAGACCTTGCTCCAAAAAATTCCCAGCAGCAGCAACAAGTTGTATTTCGTTGAAAAATAGCAATTGACATGCTAACACAAGCCATTTAAATTCATTGAAATCAATGTGAATGATATCAAAAAAATTCCAAACTTAATAAAACACTATTAAGTTAAAATCTTAAGAAAACTTGAGAAAACTTTACTTTAAATTGCAATCATCAGAAGACGCCAATACAAAATTTGTTTTGTATGACGGCGAAAATTAGTGTTAACACTTAACTAAAAACAATTAAAATATCTTTTATAATTATGCAGCCTGGATTTTATTTTCCCATTAAAGAATTTACCTTAAACAGCTTTGCTTATTATTGTTAATTTATATTTATATATAAATAAAAGTTACAAAACATAAATTTTTTTTCATAATTTAAAAAAAGTTTTACTATTTAAATTCTTCTAATAAATTTGTCATTAATTTAAAATTAATGCTAAAAAAAACCACTTTTGAATGTTGTAAGAAGTTTAGTTAAATTACTTAAGTCGTAAAAAAGATATTCAAAAAGAGGTCAAATTTGATCATTTTAGTATATATATTTTTAATTTTAAATGTAAAATAGAGAACTTCCCATTAATTTTCAAACTAATTTTTAAACTTAATTTTTAAACTTCAAACTGTTTTTATATAATTTTTAATCAGAATAAAATTCACAATCATAATCATTTATAAAAATATAAGGGTAGAAACTTATGCATTTCCCTTTTTTTTTCTGCCCTTTTTTG